TTCACCTCAGACCTCTTGGCAGCCTACTGTGCGGAGCACGGCATCACCCAGTCGTTCACGCTTCCGGCCTCTCCGCAGCAGAATGGGGTTGCTGAGCGCCGCATTGGCTTAGTCATGGAGGTCGCTCGTACCTCCATGATCCATGCGGCTGCCCCCCATTTTCTGTGGCCGTTTGCGGTCCGGTACGCCGCGCATCAGCTCAACCTCTGGCCCCGTGTCTCCTTGCCGGAGACCTCGCCCACACTGCTGTGGACGGGGGAAGTGGGCGATGCGTCGCGTTTCTGGGTCTGGGGTGCTCGTGCCTTTGTCCGCGATACCACTGCGGACAAGCTCTCCGCCCGCGCTGTCCCCTGTGTCTTCCTTGGCTTTGTCCCTGACGCGCCTGGTTGGCAGTTTTACCACCCCACCTCGCGCCGTGTCTTTGCGTCTCAGGACGTCACGTTCGACGAGTCGGTTCCCTTTTACCATCTCTTCCCCTACCGCACTGCCCCGCTCCCCCCCCCGCCGCTCTTCCTCGCTCCAGGTGCTCCCCAGGTAGACCCCCTCCCCGCTCCCGGTCCTGCTCCTTCAGGTGTGTCTCAGGTAGACCCTCCTCCCTTGACTGCGCCGGTTGAGGTCACTGGTGACTCAGGTCCTGCTCGGGGTGCTACTTCTGGGGGTGCTGAGCCTGGGGGTGCTGAGCCTGGGGGTACTGAGCCTGGGGGTGCGGAGCTTGAGGGTGTGGGGCCTGGAGGTGCTGAGCTTGGCAGTACTGAGTCTGGGGGTGCTGCACCTGGGGTTGCTGAGGCGTCTGGTGAGCTGTCTCCCTGGAGCGGCCGTCTCCGTAGTCGCTCCGCTGGTGCCTCGCCGCTGCCCTCTCGTCGTCCACTCCCCCTCTCCTCCCTGCAGCTGGTTGAGTGGTACCTTGGCCGTCAGGGCCGCGCTGCTGGAGGTTCTGGAGCTGCTGAGGGTACTGACACTGGGGGTTCTGGAGCTGCTGAGGGTGCTGGCGCCGGAGGTTCTGGAGCTGCTCGAGGGCCTGGTCCTGGTAGCGCTGGAGCTGGAGGTTCTGGAGCTGCTGAGGGTGCTGGCGCTGGAGGTTCTAGAGCTGCTGGAGGTGCTGGAGCTGCTGGGGGTGCTCGCGCAGGAGGTTCTGGACCAGTTTGGAGTGCTGGTGCTGAGGGTTCTGAGTCTGCTGTTGCGCGGTCTCCTTGGAGTAGCCGCCTTCGTCCACGTGTGCCTCTCACCTCGCAGCAGCTGCACGACTGGTACGGTCGCCGTCAGGGTCGCGCTGCTGGAGCCCGGGGCTCTGCTGCTGGAGGTACTTCTGCTGACGTCCCTGGAGCTAGGAGTGGTGCTGGTCCTTTGTCTACTGGAGGTGCTGGTTCTGGGGGTGCTGCTGCTGGAGACCCTGGGACTGGAGGTGCTGGTTCTGGGGGTGCTGCTGCTGGAGGCCGTGAGGTTGGAGACCCTGGGCCTGGAGGTGTCGGTTCTGGGGCTGGAGCTTCTGGAGCTGCTGGAGCTGCTGGAGCTGCTGGAGCTGCCGGTACTGGTGCAGCTGCGCCGACACGACTGTTCTTCGCTCCGCCGTCTCCGTCGTCTCTGCCGCCGCCTGACTCTGTTCTTCGTCAGGTTCTTACTCTCCCGTCGTCTACTGGTCTTCCGTTACAGCCTGGCTCACCGCTGCCTGCTCCTTCTCCTTACACTGAGCAGACAGGTAGTCTTGCTGAGCGTCGTGAGCCTGCGTCGCGTCCTGTCTCGCCTGTTCGTCCTAGTCGTACCGGTCGTCGTGTTCCTCGTCCGCGTCAGCCGGCTGTCCCCGGCACACGCCTTGTAGCCCTGCGTCGGTCCCCTACTCCGGAGCGTACTCCTCTTCCGTCTCCCCCTGCGTCCTCTTTGCCTGACGTCGCGGACCCTGAGTTTGACCGGTTTCGTGCTGAGCACCCTACTGTCACGCGTCTGCTAGCCACTGTTGTCACTGACCCGTCGTTTGAGTCTGCTGCTGCGTCTGCCCTGGTCGCTGAGCTTGTTGACTTTGCTGCTGCCTGTCGTCTGGACTACGCTGCTAGTCTTGTCGCTGAGTCTGAGTCTGTCTGTCCTCCGTCCGTCGGGGGTGAGTGTGCTCTTAGCACGGACGTCCTTGAGGACAGGCACGAGGACCTTGAGTGTCTTGCAGCCGTTGCGCCTCATCTCGTGGCCATGCTGCTTGCCCCTGAGGGAGACCCGGATGCTATAGACATCCCCACACCGCGCTCTTACGCTGAGGCGATCGCGGGTCCCTACTCCTCTCAATGGCAGGCAGCCATGGACGCAGAGATGGCATCCTGGAAGTCCACAGGCACTTACGTCGATGAGGTTCCCCCTCCCGGGGCGAACATCGTCGATGGCATGTGGATTTTCAGGGTGAAGCGGCCGCCAGGTTCTCCGCCTGTCTTCAAGGCGCGTTACGTTGCTCGAGGCTTCAGTCAGCGAGAGGGAGTTGACTTCTTCCATACCTTCTCCCCTACCCCGAAGATGACTACTCTTCGGGTGCTGCTGCACGTTGCCGCTCAGCGTGACTACGAGCTTCACTCCCTTGACTTCAGCACAGCGTTCCTACAGGGCAGCCTGCACGAGGAGATCTGGCTGCGCCGCCCACCTGGCTTCACTGGGACGTTCCCTCCTGGTACCCAGTGGAGCCTCCGCCGGCCAGTCTACGGTCTCCGCCAGGCACCCCGTGAGTGGCACGACACACTGAGGACTACCCTTGCGGCTCTTGGGTTTGCGCCTTCGACTGCTGACCCTTCACTGTTTCTACGCACCGACACTTCGCTGCCGCCGTTCTATATCCTCGTGTACGTCGACAACTTGGTCTTTGCTACTGCTGACACTGAGGCCCTCGCCCTGGTGAAGTCCGAGCTGCAGAAGAGACACACGTGCACAGACCTGGGTGAGCTGCGCAGCTACCTTGGCTTGCAGATCACCCGGGACCGAGCACGCCGCACCATCACACTGACTCAGTCACACATGGTGCAGCAGGTCCTTCAGCGCTTCGGCTTCACCTGGTCCTCGGCACAGGCCACTCCTCTGGCTATAGGTCACTCGCTCTCATCTCTGCCTTCGGATGAGTCCGTAGAGCCGAGTGGTCCTTACCCAGAGCTAGTGGGCTGCCTCATGTACCTGATGACTTGCACTCGTCCTGACCTTGCGTACCCTCTTGGCCTTCTGGCTCGCTACGTGGCTCCTGGTCGACACCGAAAGGTGCACTGGGATGCTGCGAAGAGGGTACTGCGCTACTTGTGCAGTACATCGGGCATGGGGCTCGTGCTTGGAGGACGGCGAGAGGTGGTCCTCACTGGGCACTCAGACGCTTCTTGGGTTAACGACCAGGCTACGCAGCGGTCGTCACAGGGTTACACTTTCAGCCTTGGCTCTGGTTCTGTTTCTTGGCGTTCTACTCGCTCGTCTTCTGTTCTCAGCTCCAGTTGTGAGGCTGAGATCTACGCCACAGCCTTGGCTGCTCAGTAGTTACGCTGGCTCACCTACCTGCTGACCGACCTAGGAGAGCGGCCTCGTTCTCCTCTAGTGCTGTACGTCAACAACAAGGCTGCCATTGCCTTGTGTGAGGAGCACAGACTGGAGCACAGAACGAAGCACATCGCTCTGCGGTACTTTCTGGCTCGAGAGTTGCAAAAGCGTGGTCATCTTCGTCTTGCACACGTGGCCACTCGGGCCAACACTGCTGATATATTCACCAAGGTACTTCCGTCTGGTGATCATCAACGCTTTTGTACTTTGTTAGGCCTTGTGCCTACGTTTCCACACTTGCTGTAGTCTTTTGTGTGTACTGTGCTCTATATTTATACCTGCATGCTTGCTCTTGCTAGGTATTGATCACTGTACTGCTCTTGTTGCTTATATATATCTCTGCATGTGGACTGGCCTTGCGGCCCTTTGCTTGTGCTCAGAATGTGTGGTGACGTTGAGATCCACCCTGAGCTTGCTTTGCGTCTCTTGACTGGTCGTGTGACCCCTTGTTCTCCCCCACTTTGCCTATGGGGGTGTGTCAAACATATATGCTGCATATTGTCTAGGCTGTAGTGGGGTAGCCCACATGGGGTACAACCCAATTAGGGTTTCCTACTTGTACTCCTGCATGCTGTTAGTTCATCATTCCTGCTGCTAGATTCTAACAGGAACAACTGGAGTTTGATGCTTGGCAAAGCATGTTGAGGCGATTGTAATAGAATGTGGACACTTATTATGTAGGTACCACTGATAAAGAACCGTATATCCATAGACATGCAAGCTTATTACGGTACCATACATATTTTACATGTTAGGGCTCAAGTGAGTCCTTCGCAAATCACGCGAGGTACCGTAAGCCCCCGGATAGAAGCGCAGGCCTCGGATAAGCGCCGGCGCTTATAAAAGGATGAGGGCGCTTATATCCGGTCCTCGATTATAAGCGCACCCCTTAAAAAATTCTGATTTATTATAAGCGCATGTCTATTTTTTAATCTGAAAATCAGTCGAAACGCAGAAACGAATTTCTCTTTACCAGGGAATCGAAGTACAGGTCCACTTTCCCACTCACATCACACTTGCTGCGCGTCTAGTCAGCACTTGCTGTCGCTTAGTCAGCATGTGTTGGCAGGGAATACATCCCTGCTACCGTAAGTTGCGCGAGAATCAGATTCGCGACCCCAGATATATTCGACTCGATTACAATTGGCAGAACAAGGTGTACAGATTGGTGTAAAACAAATATAAACTTGCTTTGCCATTTTATAAGCGCCGGCTCTTATAAAATTCCTCAATTATAAGCGCACCCCCTAAAAAACAGTGTTTTTTTATACCCCCAGGGGCGCTTCTATCCGGGGGCTGACGGTATCAAATCAGATCTGATACTTCTCAATGTTTGGGACCTCTCCATCCTTCCAATCTCCCTGTCAACCTGGTGTCACCTTCAGGCACTTGGCACGAGTTGCTTGTGTCCAGCAACTCGAGAAACTGGCAGCATAGCCTCTGCCCTTGAAGTATCAGATCTGATACTTTTCGATGTTCAGAACTTCTCCGTCCTTCCACTCCCCCTCTGTCAACCTTGCATCCCCCTCGGGCACTCGGCACGAGTTGCTTGTGTCCAGCAACTTGAGAAACCGAGGCAGCATGGTCTCTGCCCTCTTGCTTGGTGCTAATACCAAGGAGGCTACTAATGCAGTGTTTACTGTAGACGGACAGCCAGCTCCAATCTCGCTATTATCACCTCCAGTTGCAGTTGTCCCCTTGTCATTGGTTTCAGTTTCACCATGTGATGTGACTACAGAAGGAGTGAGTGCAGAAGGGGTGTTCATGGTAGCCCCCCTGTGAGGGTTGCATGGTGCAGGGGATAGCAACCGCTGCAGCCAACCAGTAACACCAACACTGCTGCTGCTGCTGCTGCTGCCGCTGCCGCTGCCGCTGCTGCTGCTGCTGCTAGTGGTGCCGCTGGTGCTGTCAGTGGTGCCATCACTGGGAGGTGAATGGAACGTGGAAGGCGAAGCAGTGGAGGGAGGGAGAGAGCACCAGGCGCCTGGCGTGATGCTGTCAGGCTGACGCTGAAGCAGCTCCCTGCGAGCAAGAAAGGGAGGATGGGCGAGGGAGGATGGAGGACGGGCATAGGGGAGGATGAGTGGGATGTGGGAGGCGATGCAGTGCAGGCAGGGAGAGAGCACCAGGTGCCGGGGGTGATGCTGTCAGGCTGACGCTGCAGTAGCTCCCTGCGAGAACAGGTGGGGAAACGGAAACAGGAAGATGCGTGTAAAGAAGGATGGAAATAGGGAACATGGGCGAGGGGGGATGAGGGTTTGGAAGGATGGGAAGAGGTGAGATGGGGTAAGGTGAGGTAAAGGGATAGGGAGTGTCAATGTGGTAACAACACGCTATGAATCATCATGAAGAGAGTCTAGAGGTATCCACTTCAAAGTACTCAACTCGAAAGTAGTCAACTCCTGAGTTCTGTGGGATGTACGGTACCCATTTCCTCAGTTATAATGACTTGGTGAGAAGGATGGGTAAAGGGAAGATGGGTGAGGAAGGATGGGAGTATGGACAGATGGGAAGAATGGGGTTTCGTAAGGCAGAGGAGGGATGAGGAGGGTTTGAAGCTCCCTGTGATGAGTCACCCTAGAGAGACTCGAGAAGAACACTTGAACTGTCTGAACAAGCAGATATACAGATATACTGGAGTTCCCCAGATATACAGTACCTGAACAAGGCAGAGGAAGGACAGAGAGGACCAATGGCGTAGCTCCTTGCGATGATTAGCTTGGAGAGAGTCTTGAAGTATGTACTTGGAGGGTCCGAAGTTCCCAACTAGTCAACACAGAGTTTACAGTACCTTTTGATTCACTATGATTGACTGGGTGCTTGATTGACTTGGTTGACTGGATTGACATAGTTCATCGGGTTGACTCAGTTGACTTTCTTGACTTAGTTGAGTAGGACGACATGGATGACTAACTAACATGAGTGGGTTGACATTTATTGACCGGATTCCCTTGCTCGACTTGGTCTCGTACCTGTCGATCCTATCCAGAGTCGGTGAGTCGCGAGGAAACTTCCTGGCAAAGAGGAAGACGCCACTGGTGAAGGCCTCATAGAAGGAGTCGTTCATCTCCAGGGAGTGCTGCCATGGGGGAGGAGGGGGAGACAAGAGGGGAGGGGAGGGGAGGGGAGGGGAGGGGAGGGGAGGGGAGGGGAGGGGAGGGGAGGGGAGGGGAGGGGAGGGGAGTAGAAGGGGGTTGAAGGGGGAGGGGAGGGCAGTGGAGGGGAGGGAAAGAGAGGGAAGGGGAGGAAAAAGAGCAGTTGAAGCGGGGCGCATTTGGGTGCAGGGGAATTGGGGAGGGGAGGAGCTTTTGAGTTGACTCAGAAGGCCACTGGTGAAGGCATCGTAAAACAAGTCGTTCATCTCCAGGGAGTGCTGCCATGGTGGGAGGGGAGGGGATAGGGAGGGGAGGGGAGGGGAGGGGAGGGGAGGGGAGGGGAGGGGAGGGGAGGGGAGGGGAGGGAAGGGGATGGGAGGGGAGGGAGGGGGGACAAGAGGGGAGTAGGAGGGAGAAGCGGGGTGGGGAGGAGAAAGAGCGGTTGAAGTGGGGCGTACTGGTGGAGGCATTGTAAGAGTTGAAGGAGCGCTGCAGTGAGAGGGAGGGGAGAGGGGAGGGGAAGGCAAGGGTGGAGACAAGAGGGACAAGAGGGACAAGAGGGACAAGAGGGACAAGAGGGACAAGAGGGACAAGAGGGACAAGAGGGACAAGAGGGACAAGAGGGACAAGAGGGACAAGAGGGACAAGAGGGACAAGAGGGACAAGAGGGACAAGAGGGACAAGAGGGACAAGAGGGACAAGAGGGACAAGAGGGACAAGAGGGACAAGAGGGACAAGAGGGACAAGAGGGACAAGAGGGACAAGAGGGACAAGAGGGACAAGAGGGACAAGAGGGACAAGAGGGACAAGAGGGACAAGAGGGGGGAAAAGGAACTTTTGCGTCGACTCAACACACTGGTGAAGGAGTGGGTGGGTAAGGCGGGAGGCGCTGGGTGGGGAGTAACAGGGGGGGGAGGGTCCCGAGACAACCTCACAGGTGGCTGGGTGGGGAGTAACAGGGGGGAGAGGGTCACGAGACAACCTCACAGGTGGCTGGGTGGGGAGTAACAGGGGGGAGAGGGTCACGAGACAACCTCACAGGTGGCTGGGTGGGGAGTAACAGGGGGGAGAGGGTCACGAGACAACCTCACAGGTGGCTGGGTGGGGAGTAACAGGGGGGAGAGGGTCACGAGACAACCTCACAGGTGGCTGGGTGGGGAGTAACAGGGGGGAGAGGGTCACGAGACAACCTCACAGGTGGCTGGGTGGGGAGTAACAGGGGGGAGAGGGTCACGAGACAACCTCACAGGTGGCTGGGTGGGGAGTAACAGGGGGGAGAGGGTCACGAGACAACCTCACAGGTGGCTGGGTGGGGAGTAACAGGGGGGAGAGGGTCACGAGACAACCTCACAGGTGGCTGGGTGGGGAGTAACAGGGGGGAGAGGGTCACGAGACAACCTCACAGGTGGCTGGGTGGGGAGTAACAGGGGGGAGAGGGTCACGAGACAACCTCACAGGTGGCTGGGTGGGGAGTAACAGGGGGGAGAGGGTCACGAGGGTAAGACGGGGGCCGCCTGTGAGGGTAAGACGGGGAGAGGAAGTTGAGGGTTAGACAGGGATGTCAGGTGGAAGAAGGGATGACAAGTGATTGCATTCGTGCAACACACGGTTCCCCAGCAACAGTACACTATCCCTCCTCACGGTTCCTCAAAGAACAAGCTGTGCGGGAGAAACACACATTCCCTCCTCATCACGTAACGAGGTGATTTTGTGCAGTACACATTTCCACAGCCTGAGTACGCTGTGCCTCCCCCGTCACTGGGACACACGAGAGAGCATACCGAGATGCCCTTTGGCATGCCATTACCCTACAGGGCTGCCCCTGTTTCTCCAGCACCCACCCTGTAATGCACCCTTCTATCACCTGGCCGCGTCGCATGCCCACGTGCATCCCCACATGCATCCCCACATGCATCCCCACGTGCATGCCCACGTGCATCCCCACGTGCATGCCCACGTGCATCCCCACGTGCATGCCCACGTGCATCCCCACGTGCATGCCCACGTGCATCCCCACGTGCATGCCCACGTGCATCCCCACGTGCATCCCCACGTGCATGCCCACGTGCATCCCCACGTGCATCCCCATGTGCATCCCCACGTGCTTCCCTACGTGCTTCCCTTCTATACTACCACTACCACTACCACTACCACTACCACTACCACTAACCCCGCCAGCCTCCCCTTTGCCTTGCCATCACTGGAACGAACCCACCGGGCTGCCCTGGGCGAAGGTGGCGCAGTGCAGGCTGACGTTGAGGAGGGCAGGTTACCAGGGGACCAAGCAGGCATCGGTAACGCATTGACCTTTGACATCCCAGGTAACCAAGCAGTCAAAGGGGGAATGTAGAACAAACATACAGGGCTGGCCTTGGGCATGCCATCACCGGGCTGAGACTGTGGAACAAACATACCGGGCTGGCCTTGGCGAATGTGGCGAAGTGGAAACGACGGTTGAAGTGGGGCGAGTGGCAGGCGACGGTGCTGAAATACGGCTCATCCGACTCAACATGTGGCAGGCACACAACACAACATTGGTTTAAAGTGGGACCCAGAGGGACGCACACGGATACTCACTGGGCTGCCTTTGGCGAAGGTGGCGAAGTGCAGGCTGGCGTTGAGCAGCGAGTGGTTGAAGCGCGCCGAGTGGCAGGCGACGGTGGAGAAGTAGTGCTCGTCCGAGTCGATGACGTCAGCCATGTACATGAGGATGCGGCGCGGCCAGCTGGCGGGCTCCCATAGGACGTACCGCAGGAAGGGGCGCGACGCCTTGATCCAGTTGCAGCCTGCTCGGTGTTGCACGTGGACGGGAGGGGAGACGCAAAAGGCGGGGGAAAGTTTTGAGACGTCTCAAAATGAAAAAGGCGGGGGAAAGGGTGAGGCGGGTGGGGAGGATATGGCAAGGCAATGGGAGGCAGGAGGCAGAGAACGAAGCACGAGCAGCCGTGGCGAGAGTCAGCTTGAGTGAAGCGGAGAATGGGAAAGGAGATGGCAGGTCAATGAGAGCAGGCAAGTTGAGAGCTGGCCAAGGGGCGTGGCAGGCGGAAAGAACGACAGCACGTTCAGCATGTGGATAGGGTGGTACACGTGCATGAGAGTCAGATAGAGTCAACGCGAGTCAACTCACCCATGAACACGTGGAAACGAGTGGCAGCAGGCCGCACGTCCCGCATGAGTTTATGCCCTCTGTGCGCCTGGAAGAGTGCCCTGTCCAGATTCACTGCACGCTGCCGGTAGCTGGAGGGGAGGGAAAGAGGGGTTTGTGGAGGCGGGGGTGGGTTGGGGAAGGAGTAGGGGGAGCGTATGCATTCTGTACGCACGAAAGAGCGCCCTGTCCAGATTCACTGCGGCACGCTGGCGGTAGCTGTCGCGCAGAAGCAGGGGGAGGAAGGAGTTGTGGAGAGGGATTGTGGAAGGGTTGGGAAGGAACAGCGCTCTGTCCAGGTTCACTGCACGCCGCCGGTAGCTGGTGAGCAGAGGGAGGAGGAGAAGTGGGAGGGGCGGGATGTGGACTTGTGGACTGGGAAAGGGAGGAGTCAATGTGACAGTAACAATGTGTAGCATAAAGCACTCACTCGACGAACTGTAAGGAAACCAGACGAGAAGAGCGGAGACAGAGGGACTGTAGGGCGGGCGGGCGATTCATTTGACTCGGTGCTCGACGCTGTGGTGCATGAACGAGTGGCTGCGTTTTACGAGCGAGAAACAGACGCGGAAACGCGTGTGAGTAAACGGGGACACAAGTCTATAACGAGGCCAGGCGACTCTATGGTCCTCGATTGAGTGAAAACAACCGAGTAAACGCGTGTGACTATAACGGGGACACAATATTAGAAACCACTCACTCGAATCGGTGCTCGACGCTGTGATCCATGAAGGAGAGGCTGCGATCCACGTGCGAAAAGAGATAGAGCATATCTGGAGGGAGTGAAGGGAGTGGGAAGAGGAGGGTGAGAGTGTGAGGGGAGTGGGGAGAGTGAGGGTGTGGGGGTTGAGAAAGAGGGTGTGGGGGTTGAGAAAGAGGGTGTGGGGGTTGAGAAAGAGGGTGTGGGGGTTGAGAAAGAGGGTGTGGGGGTTGAGGAGAATGAGGACGACGGGGGGTGAGGAGGATGAGGTGCGGGTAGGGGGCTGAGATATGAGCCAAAGGAATGGAGAGCGAGTGCATAAGACATTCTGATATTGCCTTCTTTATCAGTGCATTAGAGAGAGCAGAGAGTGCTGTGAGCCATTTGTGAGTGCGAAGCACGCGCGGTCTAGTTGCATTGGCTTGAGTCGAAGTTGCGGCGATTGCGAGGGAAGAACAGCGATTGCGAGGGGGAAAACGGTCAACATAAGACACCTCGAACGTACCGACGCTTCTCGTTACACTCACCATCTTGTGACATCAACGGGTAATCCGCAGCGCTCAGGTTGATGAACCAGTCCCACTGCGCGCCGCTCGCTATATGCACATGCGCCAGGCGCAGCGTCGCGGACAGCAGCGTCGACCCTTGGTACGTGACTACTTCGGGGTCCGGAATCACGACAATATTCGCGCGCCTCGACAGTGCAGGGTGGGCGGCGATCTTTGTCTTTAGCGCGAGAGTTTCCTCGGGGTCGTCGATATGCACCGCGTAGTGGTTCAACGGGTGGTAGATGGCGAGTAAGAGGCGCACCACGCGCGCGCTGTCATTTTTCGCGCCGAGAATGCCGTACGCCAGGCGGGGAGTACCGCCACCTTTTCTGCCAGTTGGACTATACGCGCCTTTTTCCCGCCACCACTCCGCCGCTTCACTCCCCACAGCGCCCGCGTCATCTGCCGGCCGTTCCACCACCACCGACACGGACGGCTGTAGCTCCCCGACCGCCTGTAAGCCGTCGCCGCCGCTAGCGCCGCCCGGCTGTAGCCCCGTGAGCACGAGCGCGTCGACGGCGTCGCGGTCGGGCGGGCAGGCGGGCCAGAGGCGGGGGTTGGCGGAGAGGAGAAGGAGATTGCCGAAGAGAAGCGCGCCGAGCACGATGGCGGGGAGCGTGCAGCGGAAGGCGGAGAGGACGTGCGCGGAAGCAGAGTGGGCGGAGGGTTTGGCGGAAGGGGAGAGCTGATGGAAGGGGTCGCGCGGGGAGGTGGCGTTTCCCTCGGGTAACCAGCCCATGGCGAGATGAGCGAAAGTTGGCTGGAAATGAAAGTCTGAAAAATGCTACGACTGTCTAGCGCGGGATAACCCAATCACAGCATGGAACTGCAGTGGAAAGCCTGCGAAAGCCTAGGGGGGGCTAGCGAATCGGCAGCGAGTCGGCAAGCCTTTTGCTTCTCGTGTGCGCTTCACAATCGCAATCGTGTGCAATCACGTTTGATCATGGTGCTACTACTCACGACGGGCGCTAGTAAAACTTGCATAGCCAAGTCTTTGTGTCACTTATCTATCAACGCGCAGCAGAAACATCCTGGAAAAGCCTTCCGGGGAGGTGGACTACCAAACAGGCCGGCCAAAATGCATCATCGTTGAAATGGGGAGTATGACGTGCTGTTCGGAATGCGCTTGCGTGGCGGAAAGAATAGGTCTAGTCGACGCTAGCAAAAATTCGCCGGTTCGTTGGGCATCATTGCCACATTCACAATTACGTTGCTCCTGACTTGGGAGTACGGGCTGTCGTTCTCATGTTTTAGTTTGTCGAGGTATTTGCACACTTCAACTCGCCCCACCCTGGCGGGGCAAGGAGCGAGAGATTGTATGAATCACTAAACCGAGGATGGCGAAGCGTAAACAGTGAGTTTTTATTCCTAGGCTCATCACGCAAGGTCAACAATGCGTGCTTCGCGCTGCGCGCAGCGTGTGCAAGAGCAAGGGCTCAAAACCCTAGGCAACACTTGGTTCATTCTAGGGCAAGAAATGAGACAATCAGGAGTAAAGCAGGGGCGACTTTCGTGACACTGGGAGCATGGGGGCGGTTTTGCAGAGGAGGTTCTGGGGAATGTCGCGCCGCGACGGGAGGTGGGGGGTTGAGGGGCTGAGGCTGTACCGCTCTGAAACACACTGTAACTCTTAGGTTTGCACGAAAACGCACAGCACAACCCGAATCACACGAAACGTGGCGATGTTCCTCCAGAATTGCCAAGGATTTTACATGAGCGCGACACGAGGTTCGTGTCAACGAAATAGAGGTTCGGCGGAAACGTGGTTTGGTCATCAGGACCGAACCTTGACAAGGTACGGTAGGCATGTTCCAGTTATGCCCGCGCCTCAAGCAGCCAAGTTCGCCGCCACCGTCCCTTCTGGTCTCTTCAACCAGGCTCGCCGATTGCCTGTCAGCGAATCTCAGCCACGAAGAATTCAGACCTTTGATTGGCCTGGTTGGGCACAAAATTTTATAGAAGCCATGTGCCCAATGAAACTAGCAATCCTGGGACCTGAAGCAAGACTATATCGAGCAGGAGCAGGTAAGGAACCGATAGAGCGTTATAAAACCACTCGTTCCATGTTAAGAACGGGTTTCCATCTGCTTTCACTTCCTATATAGCTTTCACTGTAGTTACTTGGGTTAGGTGATCGGAGTGGTGGTTGCTTGTGAGGAGAGATTTCACGACAGAAAGCTAGGGTTTGGTTCTCTTTGAACGCTACTAGGCTCAGATACCCACCAGCAAGGGCTAGTCCCTCCGTCTAGTGACTCTGTCCTAAGCCAGCGCGATTCGTCTGTTGCCGTTCGTTTTTCTTAAAATCCTATCAGGGATTTTGGTGTAACTGATCTGCAGCCATGCCGAAGAATAAGGGTAAGGGAGGCAAGAACAGGAAGAGAGGAAAGAACGAAGCCGATGACGAGAAGCGCGAGCTGGTTTTTAAGGAGGACGGGCAGGAATACGCTCAGGTGATGCGTATGCTCGGGAACGGTCGCTGCGAGGCGCTTTGCATCGACGGGGTTAAGCGGCTCTCGCACATCCGAGGCAAGATGCACAAGAAAGTGTGGATCGCTGCGGGAGATATCATCTTGGTTGGGCTGCGAGATTATCAAGACGACAAGGCCGACGTTATTTTGAAGTATCAACCGGACGAGGCGCGTCTCTTAAAGGCGTATGGGGAACTGCCGGATAATATAAGGTTGAACGAGGGTATTGCTGGAGGCATGGACGAAGAGGGTGAAGATGGCGGAGACGACTATATCGAATTCGAGGATGAAGACATTGACAGGATATAGAGTTGTTACTATGTCGGGCGGATGCAGGCCCTGGTGCATAGCAGCTGGTTTTGGGGATTATGTGGATCTATAGATGACGTTTAGTTTTCCATTGTGAAAATTTCGAGGGGGTTAGGTTGTTTCTTACATGGTGTTCAGCCATGAGAGGTGAGGATGCTTTTAACGTACCATGAGTGGGCTTCTTGCCCTCTTAATGTTAGACCTGTTGGAGCGTGTAACATTTTTGTCATCATGAAACAATCATGTGGCAGTTTCAGAAAGGCCCTCAGTATGGTTTTACGGTACCATCTGAGCAGTCTGACCACACCACACCATCTTTCTAGCTTGGAGTTCTAAATTTTCAGGAAATTGTCTGATTCATGATGTCAGCAACAGAATATGTGAACAAGCACATCGTCAGCTAGAGACACATGGTCCTCTCCAGTGACCTCACCCCCTATCATTGCCATCAGCAGCGCCATGAGCTCCGGATGCGCACGAGATGGACGCACAGGCACATGGCGTAGATGTCAGAGGTCCACTGGAGATCCCCGATGATCCTAGGGAAGGGTTACAGGCACATCGGCCTGGGGGGTTATGGGCGCACTTACCCGCCATACAAACAAGCCCTTTTATCCCAGTGGTTAGTGGCTGGGATTCTGACAGTAGAAGCCCCAATAAAATCAAACAACAGCTATGCAGAAGCAGCACCTGGAGAACCAACTGGCAATGGTATATTTTTATAGAAGGACGTGGCATGCATGTCCCAGCACACCATGCTGTATTACACAACCCATGTGTCAAAATGAAGAATGGATGATGCATTGATGTTGGTTGGGGTACATATAGCTAACCCTAAGTTTTGTACCCCCTAAGACAAACCTCACTATAGGCTACAACATTTGACACACCCCCATAGCCTAAGTGAGGGGTGTCTAGCAGAATCAAAAGAGTACGGTCACAAGACCAGTCCAAGAAACGAAGCTCAGGGTGGATCACAACGTCACCACACAGTCCGAGCACAAACAACAGTGGCCACAAGGCCAGTCCAAGAAGTAACAGAGGTATATAGAAAGCAAAGTAAACAGTACACTCAAGTCTAAGCAACACGAGAACCAGTGTCAACAAGGCCTAACTGCACACAGCACCTCTGGTGGTCACAAGGCGGAAGCGCCTTGGTGAAGATGTCTGCAGTGTTGGCCTCGGACTCCACAAACTCAAAGCGAGCCTGTCCACGCCTCTGCAACTCTCGCAGAAGAAAGTACCTGACGTGAATGTGCTTCACTCTGCTCTCCAGTCGTGGCTCTCGACAAAGGAGAATAGACGCCTTGTTGTCAGTGAACAAGGTCGGTGCAGAGCTCGGCCGCTCACCAAGGTCGGTGAGCAAGAAGGTCAACCAACGCAGCTCCTGTGCCGCCATGGCACCAGCGTAGATCTCAGCCTCAGCTGTAGAGGTCGAGACCGAAGAGGAGCGCGTGGACCGCCAGGAAACAGCTCCAGAACCCAGGCTGAAACAGTACCCCTGAGTAGACCTGTGAGTCTCAGCGTCGTCAGCGTAAGAGGAGTCACAGTGACCAGTAAGTACGACAGACTGCTGCCCTCCAAGAACTAGCCCCACGCCTGACGTCGTCGCTAGGTACTTCGCCACCCTCACAGCTGCTGTCCAGTGAACAGGACGGTGTCTCCCTGGCGCAACAAAGCGCGCAAGAACGCTGAGAGGGAAGGCGAGGTCCGGGCGAGTACAAGTCATCAGGTACATGAGGCAACCCACAAGCTCTGCGTAGGGACCACTAGGCTCGAACGGCTCGTCAGGAAAGGGTCCAGTGAGTCTGTGGTCAACAGCAAGAGGTGTGCGCTGTACTGTGGAGTGCTGAAGCCCGAACCGCTGAAGGACCTGCTGCACCATGTGCGACTGTGAAAGTGTAATGGTGCGAGCAGCTCTGTCCCTGGTGATCTGCAGGCCAAGGTAGTGGCGCAGCTCACCAAGATCAGTGCAGGTGTGTCTCTTCTGCAGTTCGGACTTCACGTGTGCCAAAGCAACCCTGTCAGGGGTGGCGAAAACAAGGTCGTCAACGTAGACCAGAACAAAGAAAGGTGTGGGGCCACGACGAACGAACAGCGACGGGTCAGCAGAAGACGGCTGGAACCCAAGGTCAGACAGGGTAGAACGCAGGGTGTCGTGCCACTCACGAGGAGCCTGACGAAGACCGTAAACCGGTCGCCTCAGCCTCCACTGGGTCCCAGGAGGGAAAGAGCCAGTGAAGGCAGAGGGACGACGCAACCAGACCTCCTCGTGAAGACTGCCCTGAAGGAAAGCAGTAGAGAAGTCGAGAGAGTGTAACTCGTAGTCTCTCTGTGCTGCTACGTGTAGTAACACCCGAAGAGTGGTCATCTTCGGGGTGGGCGCGAAGGTCTGAAAGAAGTCAACTCCCTCGCGCTGATTGAAACCTCTAGCCACGTAGCGCGCCTTGAAGACCGGAGGAGATCCCGGTGGCCGCTTCACCCTGTAGATCCACATGCCGTCGACTACGTTCGCCCCCGGAGGGGGAACCTCATCGACGTAGGTGCCTGTGGATCTGTAGGAGGCCATCTCTGCGTCCATGGCAGCTCTCCACTGAGAGGCCCAAGGCCCTGACACTGCCTCAGCGTAGGTGCGAGGAGTCGGAATGTCAAGGGCGTCGGGGTCACCCTCGGGGGCGAGGAGCATGGCACAGAGATGAGGGGAAGCGGCCGCCAGGAACTCTAGCTCAAACTGCCTGTCCTCTAGGGCGTCACAGCCAAGGGCAGACACACCCCCGACGGCCAGAGGACTGGAAGGAGGAGCAGCCACAAGACCGGTGGCGAAGTCAAGGCGGCGGGTAGAGGCAAAGTCAGTGACTGCGGCAGTAAGAGCGGACACAGAGGACACAGAGGCACGAGGGTGAGTAACAAGCGAGGCGAGAACACGAGAGAGAACAGGACGGTACGTGCGGTAGTAGTCAGT